AAACCAAAAGCAATAAAAAAAAACAAAAAAAAAAAAACGTCATGAGACATTTTCAAAAAAACATAATTAGTAAGAGTCGTTTTAAGCAAATGAAGTGATATGATATTGATGTTAATACTATCGGTAAGTGCTTCAACTCTGTTGGTGTTCTGGGAATGAAGGAATCGAGACAGGTAGTCGTTGTGAATTAAAGGGGTGCCATCAGAAAAACGAGGGGGGGGGGGGGGGGGGGGGGAATTACTGCGTGACTGAGGGCGTGAAGAAATGTAATACCCGTGCCACACGGGCAGCTCGAATGTCATTTACAGCGAATGACATTTGAGCGGACGGCCAATCTGTCGCGCGTATTCCACGCGCGACAGATCTAGAGCTGATTCGCCGATTACACAAATGTCATTTGTTGTAAATGGCATTCGAGTTACCCGTATGGCACGGGTATAAGATGGATTCAACAACAGCCTTGGAGCGATAGAGTTTGTAAAGGAGGCATAGGCTAGATCATTTACGGCACAAAAAAAAAAAAAAAGGTAAACCTAGGCTGGATTTTATGGATGTTACACTGGCTGTACGATGATAATTGCTAAGAATAAAGCGAACGCTGTGATTTTGAACTGAATCGAGGTTAGAAATGAAAGTTGATTGACCAGAATCCGAAACAGCAGCTGAGTAATCTAGTTTAGAGCGGACCAGAGATTTATACAGTAATCACTTAAGTGTTAAAGGGCCCATGGCATGAAACGAATTTTTGTCTGGGATAAATGAATTTCGATTGGCATTTTACTAATAGCATATCGTTTAACGGGCCAAAAGAAAGAAGGTAGAAGGTCAAAAGCCTGATTTTCGGTACGAAAATTTGAAAACACAGCGGACTATTTCGTACCTCCTTCCCTTCGTAAGCTCTGCCTTTTCAATGTGGGACATCCGCGGTACCCAAAGCGCGTCACCGGGCCCAAACACACTTCAGACGACACCGGACCTCACTTGTTCCCTTCACCCCTGAGCACCGGGGGGTCCACCCATGGCAATATTGCCCTTCGAGAACGTTGGAGGGGGGGGGGGGGGGGGGGGGGGGGGGAAGGCGGCCGCCCCCGTCGTCCCCCCCCCCCCCTTGGATCTGCCCCTGCGTGATGTACTTTAAGTAAAGTATGAAGTACACTGGGTGCAACGTACTTGAAGTAAAGTATTTAAATACATTCTACTTTCAAAATACAAATATTTTAACACAATCTATCATGATTCCCTTTCATTCCCCTAAAAAGTGATTTTTTTTTTTAACTGGTATGCATTGCTCAGGGGTAATCACGGGTGCATGACCTATTTTCAAAAACAGCGGTGAATATTTGATAAAGTCAAGTGGCCATAGAGTAGTTATTTTCAGGAATGGAGCCAAATTCAGAAGTCCCGCTTCTGAATTTGGCGCCCCTTGCACTGGATTGTTGCACCCAATGGGGTAAAATGTACCAGGAGAGAGCATGACATCCGCCCCGTAGCTTCTGCAAGCAACCCTCTTATAGACCTTTTCATTTTAGTAGTTGTCTCACCGGCGGACAGAGGGCGCTGACGCACTCGGCGCCATTAGGTTGCTTCAATTTGGTTGGTTTCGGTTTCAAAGTGAACGCGGCTATGTTGCTGTTTTACGTTGTTTTTGCTTAATTTTGTGATACAATTATTTCCTTGGTAGCACACAACCAATGAAGCAGTAGTATTGAGCCACTTTGATGTCTACGAGGTGTATTTTAGCTTAAATTGTGGGCTTTTTTTTTTTACCAACTCTTTTGATGTATCTGATTATGGTCGGCTGCGAAACGCCTGACTGATGTACAGGGAAGATTACCATCCTGTATGGCCGTACCCGATGACACCAGCTTCCAGAAAAACAAACTAATGAAGAGAGTAACATGTGAATGTAAAGGGGGCAAGCATATCGACAGCTTGATTAGCAATGTTCTGAATCGGCCAGAACAGATGAACTCGCGAGTTTACAACACTGTTTGGTTTTCGTGGGCACCCTACCTTTTAGTGAACTTCGCAGAATAAAAACTTTTCGTGTAATGACGCACATAATTGATATAAACAAATAATATCGTCTCGGCCTCTTTTTTTTAATTGAGTACTCGAGCATGTTTTGACAGGCTGAGTAGGAAATTTCTTAAATTGTCAATTCTGCTAAAGTACTCATAAGCAGCATTTCGCGATATTTGCCCTAGGAAATAATTTAATTTTTTTTATAAAGATTTGCTTACTCAGGATAGGATAGAAGTGACAGGCCCGTCAAATTAAATCTGGCATTTGTCTTTCGTAAAATTGGCCAAACAAAATTGAAGGGCGCAGGAGGAGAAATATCTCGGAAAGTTTGGCTGAGTTGCAGCGCTAGGCACCACTTCACAGACCTGTGTGAACAAATATTTATTTCTTAGAACAAATTCGCTTTACAAATTTCGGCGTAGTCAGCCACAAAAAGTAAGCCTCTATTCGCCATCAACAATCCTGGACTCATATAGCTGTTATGCCGACAACTCTTCTTTCTGTTTCTTTTTTCTTTTTTTGGGGGGGGAGGGGGGGGCGTTAATTATTGCGGATTTTAGATACTGGCAAGAGATGAAACAACGTAAGCAAAAAAAAAAAAAAAGCGTCGTCAATATTGCGCATGCGCCGAACCCAAACCGCGTTTTGGATTTGCAAATAGAAACGACGTTATTTCTTTGCGCACGCTATTCTAAAACTCGCTACTGTTAAGTGTCTGTGGCAGTTTCTTACGCGGGAGGTCCCAACCTTTGTGTTAAGTAAATTAAGTGGAGGGCACTGGTTATTTAAATGTAATCAATAAATCACTTAAATGACTCTCGAAATGGGAGCGAACATGGTACACAATTTCTTAAACTTCATAAGTAAACCGACCAACCGAATGTCTACGTTGCAAAAAAAAAAAAAAAAAAAAAGAGAGAGAGAGATTGAGAACCTCATACACATGTAGGTGTGATATTGCGAACAAACAAATCGCTTGATGTTGGCGTACCTTTACTTTTAGCCTCAGATAAAATACAAGTTACACGTTCGTTGTCTATCTCCTCCGCGAGTTTCCTCACATAATCAAAAGAAACTATTTTCAATATATTATGAATACAAAGAACGATACTTTCAGGGAATACAGATAGTCTCCTTGAGCTGACTATTCTTGACGCCTTGCAATCCTAAATGCGCGATATAAATATACGCGCTTCTTACTGAGAATGTTTCACCACTATTAGTAAACAAACCTCAGGAGTCGTCAAGTAGACGTATCGGACTACAGTTTCCGAAGTAAGGCGAGCAAGAGCGGTGAAACGCGACGAAAAACACGAATGCAACGCATCCGCCAAGGCGCGGAGGGGAGAGCGGAGCAGCAAGTTGAAGCAACCTAATGGCTGCCGCGTCACGTGATTCCAAGATGGCAGCGCCCATGCGGAAGAGGATGAAAAGGTCTATAGAAAAATGTCCTCTATGAAAAAAAAACAGAAAAAAAGAAAAAAAAAAACCGAGTGTGCTAGCGAGCTGGTGATAATTAATCATAATGTGACACCTGAGATTGGGGTGCGAAAAAAATCAAGGAACTTTCAAATAGAAGGAAAAGACAAAAGAAAATGTCTCAAAAGATTGTGACGTTCTCCTCTGTTGTCTTTTACTTCGCTTTGAAAATTAATTTTTTTCGCACAACAATCTCAGGTGCTACATTATGATAAATTTTGTTCTTCTAATATTTTAAACCTCCTCGCTTGCGCTGACCGACGTAGAAGTAGCAAGAGTTCAAAAAGCTACGGGAAAGCCGCCCCCAGGACAAACGGAGCGATGCGTCGTCTGCTCACGTTTCTGGTGAGAGTAAGAATATCCCTCCCGGTGTTTCTTCCGAGTTGACAAAGCATAATTTCGTGATACAAATTTTACAAAACCAAATTTGGGGAATGTACTTTGAAGTCGGGAATTGTACTTTCCTCGGAAAGTACAAGAATGCATACTCAGAGAATGTACAGTGTACTTCAAGTAAAGTACAAATTTCCTAAACCTACTTGAAGTAGTACAATAATGTACATACTTAAAGTACTCCCCGTACACTGAGGTAAAGTAACGCGTTTGTTTTGAGAATCGGTAACGGGGGGTGGGTGGGGGACGTCTAGATCTACTCACTAATCATTCCAACCCTGGGCGTTCTGACGGCCCCACGCTCTTTCGCGTCCTCCTCTCCCTCACTTTCTCGGCGCATAGCGCTAAAAAGAGCTGCCGCACTTAACAAAAAAAAAAAAAAAAAAAAAAAAAAACAGTGTTGTACGCGTTCCTCCAAAACAGGAAAGAAATCTCTTGTTCCCCTTCTCCAGGGAGTATTTTGGTCAAAGAAAGCTCATTATCTCGGAACGAGCTTCCGTTTCAATTTTCATTGGTTGGAAAGGAACGCGTTCCTGTTACCTTTTTAAGATCGGACCGTGTCATTATTTAAACGAGACCTTTGCGTATTTTAATAAAATATTGTGCTAAATAATGCATAAAAAAAAAATGACGGAGTTAAATATCCACATCGACCTACGTGTCGTGCGGCCACAATCAAATTTGTTCTAGTTCTTTGTTTTTGTCGGTCTATCGTATACTTCCCCATCCCCTTGAAGTCGTACGTTCAAGTAATAGTCGCCAATAAAAGCCTAAATGCCTACTAAATTCGGGTAGAACTGCAGCTACGATATATATATAAAAGGAACGCCGTTTCTCCGAAAACGTCCCAGTTCCCGTTCCAGTTCCACCGATGCAAGATGGAACGGCGTCGTTCCTTCGTCCCTTTCAAAAGGAACGCGTTGAAGGATCGTCGTTCCTCAGCACGCCGTTCCGTACAACAGTATCGAAAATACGAGTTCACATCTTCCTGCCGTTTGCCTCCGTTGAATGTCGAAAACCCCGCGCCTGTTTTCGCGCCGCGATGCCACGGTGGATTTCGATTGGGATGTTGGTAAACAGCACCATCGCTGTGCGGCTCCCAGGTGGCAGCACGGAGAAAGCACGTGTCTTTCGAAGCGGCAAGATGGCGGAGCTACCGGCAGCCGAGCTCCGGAAGGCGATTGCAGGTGAGAAAGACCGTAGCTTCGTTGCGAAGCGCTCTACATTTCCCGTCCACTCGAGACAACTTGGGAAGTACCCGGGGTCTGTTCGGACCCTCAGATTTGGTGCGCATACCACGCTTCTCTGCGCAGAGATCCTCGACGGAGCAGACCTGGACGTCCTGTCGTCCAAGAAAATACGAAAGCAGTTGGAACAAAAATACGGCATTGACTTTACCGACCGGTAAGTTCAGGAAAGCGGGACATCTTTTCAGCTTGGCAGCGGGTCCGAGGCCAAAGACCGTAAACTACGGAGTTGCGAGACTAGCTTCGATGGTTCCAAAATCGAGGCTTAGCTGTGTGTTCCATGAGTCGAATGGTCCGATGAGTAATCGGCGTATCCCGATGTGATCGGATCCGTGTTACACTAGTGTCTTACTCTGCTCGACTAGGTTCCGTAGGATCGGTGCGATCGTGAGCTTTACCCCGACGTTGGAAAAAGAGCGTGTCAGAAGCGCGGCGAGGAAACGGGCCTGAGGAACCAACAACATCGAGGCTAGGGAAGACGCGGTAGGACGCGGAAATGCGTTACCGCACCGGCGATGATGCTGACAACCCGCAAACGCTTCCAATTTTTGCCTTCGAAGGCGTTTCGTTGACATAAATGTTACCTCGCGGGTCCCGTGCTTTTGGCACCGTGTTAGTTTTCTTGCGAATTGGCTAGGTTGAATGCGCAATCGCAGCGTTATTCGACTGTGCCAACTGCAGCATCATTTGCATGCGCGTCATATAGGGATTTGTCAGGCATCTTAATTCAGTCTCTTTATAGCCATTGTCTTTCATACCGGTTATGCATTCAGTGCTGTCACCTTTTCGTTTTTTACTTTTGACGGAAATTTGAGTCGCCGTTTGCTCCCGATGGAATGTCTATCCGTTTGACGATGACCGGATGTTTAAAGAACGATTCAGCGAAATTTAGATTTTTGATTTTTAATGTTTTTTTTCCCCTACGATTTGACCTTTAAACTGAACAAAGACCATAGCAAGCAATTTTTGTTTTTATTTTTTTACAAAAACATGTTGACGTTCCCTGTTCACGTTTCCAGGGCGCTGAAAACTCTACCTGTATCAATCACGCGACTCTCCAGTGTTCATTTGTTCACATAATATGACGAGAATTTTAAACGAAACAGGTTTCAGATAGCTTTGTTAAACAAAGAGGCAGTTTCTCTAGTTTCTGGAAGGAGATCACTGATTCCAATGTCGAGGGTAACAGCTGATGCTTGGGCCTGAGCGGGATAAAAAATATGAAAATAAAAATCTCGGTCTGAGTTGTTTGTCTTGTGAAAGCCTAGTCTTTGCAATGACAGGCATTAAACCAGCGGGACTGATTTGGTTGCGAGAATCGGGAAAAAAAAAAAAAAAACCCAAAAAACTTAGCTTTTGGGTTATCAAAAAAACAACCAGTTTCATTTTCTATTTAAAAATAAATAAATTCCTGAGTGGGTAGGGCATTTCAACTCTCACACTAGCACAAGCATGCTGGAAATGTAGCAAAAGTTCCTTGAGGTAATTTCTCCCAGGTATATAACTGAATTGTGCAAGCTCAGGATTCTTGGGTTATTGTGTGCGCTATGCTCACTTCAATACTAGAATCCTTTTATTATTGCATCAGACAAAGTAGTTGTGAATTACAGTATAAATTGAGTTCCTATTAAATGTAAATAAAAGGGGAAAGCTTAGAAAGATAAAAAAAAAGGTTGGTTTTTTAAAGTAGAATCCCATACTCTTAATACAATTAAAAAAAAGATAAAAAACAATAAATTGATTGTTTAATTAATCGATCGGTCTCGTTCATTTTCATGCATAATATTTAAAAAGAAAACTTTTTTTATTTTTGTGTTTGTTTAATTTGTGACAAACGGCGCAATATACAAATTTGATTTCGAATCAACCTCAATGTGTAGTTGAGAACAGTTCAAGACACTCACTCACAGATTTTTACTCGAGCTGCATGAGGCAAAGAGGTTCCTTGATATTCTCGGGCAAGAGCGACCGACCTTAGATTGTTCACAATAGTCTGCTGCACTAAACGGATACTCGAACGGCATTGAAGTGGCTGGGAGACGTGTAACATTCTGTAATTGTCTGGAGTTACAAATCTCGCCCCATCAGTTTTCTTTAGGCTAAAATTTCACCTAAAGTTCTCCCTTCATACAGGTGCACTTATTCATGTCTGTGTGCCGAGAGCGTTTAATTTTCACTTAGTTTTGGTTTGTCAAAATTTTATTGATTAAACGGTAAAAAATTTAAAAAAAGTAAATTACGATTAAAGCATCAATTGATTAATCTTCCGGTTAATCAATCAATTGCCCAGCCCTACATAAAACAGCTAAGAGGAGTGAGATAGATGTGAAGCTGTCACATAGACGTAAGGCTCAATAGAATACTCGTAAAACACACACATAGTATCTGGTATATAAATAATTAGAGAGGTATTGTATATAAAAACATTTCTTAATGGTTTCGGAAGCTTTACAATTGTAGATTTCATAGAAAATTGTTAAGACGATGCGTGTTTATGTCTGTTTTTCCTTCCTTCGCCTTACATCGGGTATGGAATTCATTCACTAGTTTTCCTGTCTGTTTATTCTTTCATCACAGATTTTACATTTCTGCATAAACCGCAGTTTAGTAGAAGAATTCAGGCAGGCCGTTCAGTTGCCTTCCGCCCGCATTGGGTCCAGAAGTCGGTTTGAATTAAGAGCGCCAACCGTTCAGTTGGGCTGCTCGCGTGCACGTCCACACGTTTCAGCCTGGGTTGCCGGACTTTCCCGTACCCCGAACATGCTGTGTGTCACCGTGCAAACAAGACTTCCAGACGGCAGTTTATTTTTGCTCTCCCTGGGTTCTAGCCCTTTTGCAGAGTCCCATTCTGTCCCTGACATTGTGCCAAGAGTGCCTCGACAGAATGTGGCTCAGTGGGGTTGCACTGTTTCCGTCGTTTTGGGTGGAGATTACATAACGTGCATCCTTGAAAAGAAAGCTGGTGCTTCGAGGAGTGAGGCTGGGTTGCAGCCAGGGATTCCGACGGGGAATCCGGGCTGAGCCTTCATTGCTCGATTGCTCTTTCGTCCAACCCGCCATTAAGTTCAAGAGTTCAAGGGAAGCTGAAGCGTTTTTCAAGAACTCTGAGTTAGGAGCGAGCTTGATTAAACTTGAGGAAGAAAACGAGAAGGGACGGACAAACACAAGCAAGCTTCTATGGCTTTTGGTTCCAAAAAATTCAGTTTATTTGTTTCTTATTTATTTACCCTCTAGGTACAAGGTACAGTGCTAATCACACTTGTCTATAACGCGCAAGCGTGCGGCTTTCTCCGGGCAGCGCTAGACTGGTGGCATTCGCGGAAACTAAGCTAGTCACGTGGTGCGACATGGAACGGCCCGCTCAAGGGGTGTCCTGCCCACTCTATCAGCTTGATAAGCGATAAAAGTAAAGTGCTTTATGATATATTTTTGTTTTTTGATGACGACATCGTTGATACGCCTTCGTGCTTTAGTTTGTTTATTGTTCGAACAATGATGTTTGTAAAAAGCGTGTGAGCATCCTTCCGCGTTCGCCTCCAGCTGATAGAGTGGGCAGGACACCCCTCGAGCGGGCCATTCCATGCTGCGCCACGTGACTAGCTTAGTTTCCGCGAATGCCACCAGTCAAGCGCTCCCCGGAGAAAACCGCACGCTTGCGCGTTATAGACAAGCGTGATTAGAACTGTACATTATACATGGGTTGCATGTGACATCATTCAAAGAGCGCTCCAATGACCACCAGAGAAGAGGGGAAGGGTCCTCTTTGTGCCTCCTGGATTTGCACAGACGCCGCTATTCTCCTCCCAGAAGATTATGGAAGATTAACCCGTCACTCAAAATTCTTACAAAAGCAGCTTCCCCCTCCTCCTCTTACTTGGTGGTAAAAAATGTGCGATGTGACGTCAGTGCATACACACTTAAAAAAAAAAAAAAGTAACATGGAAATTAAAACAACTAAGGGTGCTGTTAGTAAGAGTTTGTTTAAGAAGTGATATATTAGTAATTGATGCTATTGAAGCGAAAAGGTGATTCCATTCTTTTGGTGTGCGAGGTAGAAATGAGACGCTGCTAGTGTTATAGTTTGGTATGCCAACGTTATGATATGGTCGAGTTGAGCAGAGTGATAAAATGGTTCAAGTATAAGTTTCTAGCGTAGTAATGGGTTGTGATGGTAAATTGTGTGAAATAAACAGAGACAAGCGTGTTTACGGCAGGAAGACAAGTTAGGTAATGTCAAGGTGGTTTTCATGTTAGTGAGACTGGCTGCGCGGTGATAGTTGGACAAGATAAAGCGAGCTGCTCGGTTGTGGATGGCTTCCAATGTATCGGCAAGGCTTTGATGGCCCGGATCCAATACTGATGACGCATATTCGAATTTGAAATGACCTAGACACTTGAACAATGTTAGTTTTAGGGATGAAGGAGCTTAAAAAAAATAGTTTTAAATAGCCCAGCATGCGGTTAGCATTGCTTGCAACATACCCGACTGTCGCACTTAACTTGGGCAGAAGTAAACGTAAGCCACATTCATTCTGAAAAATATGTTTTTAGCGATTGCCGCAGGGCATGCGGCGAGCCTCTCTGCCGCCTGTTATCTGCCCAAAGCGTCGTGATGTCATCGTTGCCATCCTTGAGCCAGCTTGTGGCGAGCAAGGGTCATCTGACCCTGCTGATTGATGAGCAGGGGGCGGGTCTATGTTGAAATTTTAATAGACCATTTGCAATATTCCCAAGTGCCCCTTCCCGCACTGGAGAAATCATGGGAACGGTGTTACTTCAGCTCCCTAGTGATCGCTCATTTTGACCAGTTCCATGGTTGCACAGCTTTTGAGCGTAATTCGGAGTCACCCTGAACAAGTACCTGATATACTCCAAAGACCTGTCATATCACTTTTAAAATTTCTTGTCAATGTCAGCATTTTTTTATACTGTGCATGTGATCCACCTTTAACCTGGCTGAGCTGCAGAAATATCTTACGATATTATCATTTTCGTGATTGTTGTTTTAGCAGGATTTAGCTTGGAGTCCGTGGGGCTGTTTATAGCATTTTTAGCATTTCTAACTTAATGTCAGCGTTTTTGAAGCTGTCCGAGGGTGTTAATAATGTAAGAGATTTCTGCAGCCCATCCAGGTTGAAGGGTGGACAGCATGCACAGTATCAAAAACGCTGACATTGAGGAGAAATTATAAAAGCTATATGACAGGTCATTGGGTTATATCAGGTGCCTGTTCAAGGTGACTCCGAATTATGCTCAAAAGCTGTGTAACCAAGATAAGGTCGAAATTACCGATCACTAAGGAGCTGAAGGAAAACCTTTCCCATGATTAATTTAGCCTGGGCCGGGGCGCTTGGGGGATATAGAAAATGGCCTATAGAAGATTGCGACACTGTAATAATAAGATTAAAAAGAAGTACAACTTTAGACATCATTTTTAATTAAAACTTCCACTGTTTTTTTTTTTAATTCAAAGATTTTTTTAGTTTTTTTTTAGTATTTGCTCTCTTAAATCGTCTGCCAAACATCGGTCCAGCTGCTGATTGATGCCCTTGGTTTCGGCTGTGCTGAAGGATTTGAGGTTACCACGAGAGCTGTTTTGAGGAAGGCAGCTTGGCTGTCCCTTCCGTTCATAGCTCAGCTGTTAACTTTGCGTGTGATTTCTTGCCTCTGCCGACGACGCTGGTATCGTGTGCAATGTGTTTTCTGTAATAATTCCGGTCCTTAGCGGGTCATTAAAGCGAATTTTGAGTTTTGTATTTTTATGCCCCAAACATCCTAAAAAAAATTACGATCTTGCATAGTATCTTTTTTAGTAAAATTGTGTCCAAACACAGTGACACACCCCTTTTTCTGCGATAGATCTCAGAAAAAGGGGGCATATCGGGATATTCGGTTGTGTGTTTAGTAGGGAAAAAGGTTGCGCATGATTGTAATTTTGGGTTTTCTGGGAGGTTGGGGCACGTAGGTTGTGCTTGCACCACGAAAAAACAAACTTTATTGCTCCTTTAAATACATTAATGTTTATATAATAATGAAGTATTTTATACCTGCTAGCTGTATGAGGGCAAAACGAAGGACAAGATATGCATGCTCAGCAAGCCAAGCTCGGATTAATTTCAGGTGTATGTTGCGGCTAGAAACGAAGGTTGGGTACGAATCATTATTCTACTTAAAATTTATCGAGACACTGTGCAGCTTCTGGGTGCTGCGCTTAAGGCTGGAATCCAGATCTAGTGTTCAGATTCATATTTTCGGACAGTGAACTGAGCGATACAAAAATGTGTGTTCCATTTCTGCATCCAAAAGGGTCATTCTCTCGGAGATTAAACATTTAGGTTCATGGAAAGTTAATTTGGCAACGTTCACTTTAGTTTACTATGTTATGTTATCAATAGGTAATTCATTTTTTTTTAAATACACAACCGTGCTCCTAGATGTTTATTTATATCGTTAGCGACAAATGTCGTCGAAGATACTCGAGATAAAATGAGCGATAACTATTTTACGGCTTTATATCTTTTATTTGCTTATCAGAGTGTATTTTGTTTTATTTTGCAATATTAATATTTGCAATAACATGCATAAAATGTATAGACTCAAATTTTGTGTCTAAATTAGAAAATATCCTTGCGAGGGCTGCTTCTTTTGAAAAAGCTTCTTGAAATGCCAGCTGGTCTGTTTGAAAAGTTCAACAGATTTTAAAACACAATATTTATTTATTTGGGAGCATGCCAACTTTTTGAGGAACAGTTTAGTATACTTACACGAACCAAAAAATAAATTTATCATGCAAAATGATACAGTCAAAACATTTTCCGCATATTGAAGCATTCCTTTTTTTTCTGGATGGATGCAGGCAGCATGGACGGTATTGAGCCTTGCATTTCGTGCCTGTCATTAAAAAAATCTAGTTGGCCATGAAGTAGCATGATTATACTATATACTAAATAGCAATGGGAGATTCAATTTTTTTTTTTTTAGTTGATGCGACTGACCCGTGCTGCGATTTACTCAACACAACTGATCGTTACGCGACTGACCATTTTATAACTGTTATATGACGGACCGTTACACGGTTGACAAGTCAGGCAAATTTATTTTTTATAAAAAATAAATTTACAGTTTAATTTTATATTTTTAACACCACAGGAGCGTATGTCTGCTTTGTCACTGCAAGTTATTTCTCATCAAGATATTATAAAAAATAGCGCATAAAAGATCTGTTATGCCACTGACACATCAAAAAGGTACACATTTATTTCTATTTATTCATAAGCTAATGTTTTAAAACTGATGTCCACTATGGCTGAAAACGGGTTAAACAGTCTACATACTTACTAATTAAATATGCTTGGCAGAAGTTTTAAAATAAATTTGCATATCTTTCGTTATGCCACTTAAATTTATAAAAATATAAATCGTTTAGCAAATGACATAGGTATAAGAGTTTTTGAACCAAACTTATAAAAGTTTATTTCTCTAAGACCAAAGTTCATGCCTCTTAATCTTGTGTGGTACTTAGCAGATTCAAAACAAATGCTGAAATCACTCAAAAGAGGCAATCTAAATAATTGTTTTCTAAAATCCTCTTTATGAGAATTTGCAAATATTTTTTTAGGATACCCTGATGGGGGAGGGGGGGGGGGGAGGGGGGAGGGGGGGGCTATGCTGTGCAAGCTATATATTAGGAATGATGGGAGAAAAATGTTTGAAAGTTCCTTGACAGTCACATGAATGTTTAATTTTTGGGAGAATGACTCAAAAAACTTCTTGCAGCATGCGAAAAAAAAAGAAGAAAAAAAAAAAAAGGCTAGCATAAAATTGTTGTGTCTTGACTTAGCCTTCCTGGTCTGTGAATTAAGGTTTCTGCTCAAGATCTGTTCCATTGAGCCAACAATGCATGCTTTCTTTAGAATTGAGCAATGAAATGTTGTCTGGTAGCTGTGGTAGTAAGTGGTTGTTTGTACCTGACGTGCGTGTCGAACCGTGAACTGATTGGTTGTCTGTCTGTTCTTAGGAAAAAGGAGATTGATGGCATTGTCATGGCACTCATCAGCGAACAGGCCAAAGCAAAGCCGGAGCCAAAAGAGGAGAACGGGGATGCCGGCGGCAACACATCTGCTGGATCGTCCCATGACGATAACGACGTAAGTCTAACCCAAGGGTGGGCAATGAACCCTTTTCTGCGGTCGGTCTAGCCACCCTGCCCTGCCCTACATTACAAAAGAACAAGGTGGCCAGGTGGTGCAAGCTACTGCCCGATACAAAGGATCAGTACCATCCTAGCCATCTGGATCAACATTATTAGATCAAATCGGTTGTGGAGCTCTGCTCTAGAGGGTGTTCCTTTGAATGTCACCTGTGAGATGGTGCAAGCTCAGCGTTGGATACATTATCTTCATCATCAATTGCCTTTGTCCTGGCATGGCTTTTGAATTATTTTGGCTTATATTTAGGGTGGCCATACTCCTCAGGGTTGCAAACGGGACATCTAGGGGAAGGGAAAAAAGGGGGTAGGGGGGTGGGGTGGAGGGTCAGAGCGAGATAGAATGAAAAAAGCTCTGTTACTATTCAGTTAAAAGTAAAAATGCACGTTTTTACGGGGCTTTTCGGTACCATAGTTGGAATACATAGGCACCTTTCTTTCCCATTCTGCAAAAGCTAAGCATGCCAAAGATAGTAATATAGAAAAATGCCCTGTACACGCTTGCATGCAAACAAAACTTATTGGCAAGTGGAGTCACAAAAAACTAAAAATCATGCTCTATTGGAGATAGCATTTTTGTACTATGTTTATTCTAATGCGCTGTCACAAGTAATAATCTTTTTGTTTTCTTTCACTCGCCTGGTAGTAATTTGGCGAGTACTGTTGAATACCGCGCATCCGTCCATTCCACACTAAGCACTCATTCCCAAATTTGTAAAATCGGAAAATACGCACAGTGCATTGATATGCAAAATTGATGACCAGTCAAGCACCCATCTCCCATTTTTTTCTCAATTATCTCTAAATTTTAATTGGGCGCTTGCCCAGTAAGTTCCCACGAAAACGGGTCATTTGACCCAAAATGACGGGATGGTAGAAATAACCTCTAAAACGAGACTGTCCCGACGAAAACGGGACATCTGGTCAACTTACTTATATTCGTGATAATCTATAAAGCACGTTTGTTTCTGCCTTTTTTTTAATATATATTTGTTTTGTGGATCACTGTATAGGGGACAGAGATAAAGGCATGGTGCCGTACAAATAACATGGTTCTACGCTGTTGCTGTAGGTGATGAAACAGTTAAAATTCTCACCTAGTGAAATTACAAAAGGAAGTGGCTCCGTGCGTGCAAAAGTTGTGTCGTAGACCGAGACCTAAATAAGAAAAAAGCTGAATATGTTTGCTGTCTTTTGAAGCACAGAGCTGCTGATATGTGGTTTTTGTCTAACGTACAGCTAGCAGAAGGAAATTTCCTGATATGCTGACAATGCCACTACTGAAAGATAAAGGTCAGAGGGGAGGGTATGTTTACAAATGGACACTTGAAATAAAGAAGGTATTTTTTTTTAGATAACATTGTTGGCCGTGGTGGACATCGGGTTATGAATGAAAAGTTAAAATTAGCTAATTACCTAAAATTAGATCATTCACTTTTTAAATACCTACCGTAACAGGCTGGCTGCCCATGCCCATTTCGGTTGCGGGCGGTCACTTTGAGTGGAACTTCGGTCGTTCTATTGTGTCTTAGTTTCGGTTTCTCTGTCTCCTCGTAGCCTAAATTATCCAGAAAATAGTGTGGAGCAGAACACAGCTTTCTGCCCATAGCTACGGCATATTTTAACGATTGACAACAAATCTCCAATTGGAATGTGTGGGTTAGGCAAATATTTAAAAGGTTGGTTAGTGTGTATTAGGAAATTAATTTGCTCATTATTGCTACACTTGTACCCTGATGTCCACTATGGTTGATAACATTATCCTAAACATCTTTATATCAAGTGCCTTTGTTTTAAATGTTTATTTTCACTCTTACTTGAAACACCCTGTATAGACCTTCCCAGCGGTAGTCTCGAACGAGGCGACTTACAGCGTGCGTCCCTGGTTTTGAGAATGTATGTCAATGTTGCCCGACTCCGCTGGGCTCTGGGTTTTTTCCTTACTGGACTGTGGTAGCCTGCGTAGATGCAATTCCGGACACTGCTGGTGACTAAATTGCTGCATTTTATTGTTTTTCATGAGTTCCATGGTGAATACAATTTCTCGAGGCTTTTGACAAAACATTCTGCAGTTTTTAGAGACAAAAACAAAGAACTAAGTACTGTTCTTGGGGAGTCCGTGTGTAACAAACTGAGAGGATAACTGCGAAGGAAAAAAAGTTTTTTTTTTAAGCAGCCTAATTGGGACAAGCGTGTCAAAAAACAAGATTTCCGCGAGAAGAAAAAATTTTACAGCAATATTTATTGCGTGAGACTGATTTTAGTTTGCGGCTATTTCGTCCGTTTTAAATCGCACGCCACGAAGTTGGTGTTCCGTGACGTTTAGCGCCACTTGGCTGCTATACTTCTCATTGGCTAAGAGTTTGATTGACAGCTTAGATCTTGGTTGTTAAACCTTTGTTATATGTTGCAATTTCCTTTTGAGTGACATATTTTTACGTTTAAATAATCCATGTAATGAGAGTTATTATTTTTTACAAAAGGTTTACAAGACGGGCACTTGCATTTGGATTCATACCATAACAAACAAAAGCTTCGCCATTCTTTCATTGCCGCCGATGTCTCTGTTCCTGCCTGTCTCACCTACCTCGACTAGTCGTTTCGCTGAAGTGATCAGTGTTTTGTGTTGACCCAGGTGCTTGAATGAGACTTCCTGAAGTGAAGTAGTGTGTGTTTAGCAGCTGTCACGAGTTTCAGTGATAGGAAGCAACGCGGGGTTTTGGCTTTCATAGCGCGGTACTTTCGTTTTCCTCTTTGCTTGCTTAACATGCTTTTTTTTTCTTCTTTTTTTCTTTTTTGTGGGGGGGGGGGGGGGGGGGGGGGGCTTGCGTGTGCAAATGCCGACTTTTCGGAGATGTCAGATGAGTGATCCTGACAGCGAGCCTTCCAGCACCCACGTCGCCCCGAAAGGAATGCTATTTGGCTGGAGGAAATCGGGCATTCGCGTAGCGATAAACGTGCCCAGTTACGTTCTCGTCATATAGGAAGCGAGCATGCCGGCCGTGTCGCGGCGGTCGCCTATTGTTCGCCGCGACCTAGCGGTAGCCGCCGCAGGAGCATCGGGGGGCAATGGCGACGAACAGCACGTCAGACAGTGTCCCCGTCGTGATTACGAAGGAATTTAAGGCAGTTACGAATTCGGAAAGTTCCTTCGGTAGCCGGTGCCGTCGGCGCAGAATCATCGGGAAGTAATAGCAACGAACACCACAGAGGACAGAGGGCGATTACGAATCCGGAAAACTTCTTCGGTAGCCGGTGCAGAATCATCGGGGGGAAGCAATGGCGATGAGCAGCACAGTGGACAGTGTTCCCGGGGTGATTACGACGGGGTTTAAGGCGGTTACGAATCTAGAAAGCTTCTTCCGTGGTACCAGTATGAAGAAGGGAAAACTCCTTCGTGAATCTGGCCGCGTGTACGACGTGAAGGAGGTCCGTTTCGACAGACAAGTGGATGTCACGGAGCGCCGTACTCCGCTAACAAAATTAAGCGTGCCCGCAAAAAAATGTAGTTGGCGTTGAGTGGACCGTGGTAATTATGTACGTTTATTTCTGAATCAGCTTGACAATAACTGGGCGATTTTTTTCGCGCCGTTCCGCGATTCCCACTACTATCTTCCTGTAGGCTGATGGAAACATCCAAGTGTAGGCTTAGGTGGGCGACCGCACTCCGCTTCTCGATTCCGGTGAAGTATTTGCCGCATACTTTAGAGTTTGCCGTCGGTGTCGATGCGGTTCCATCGTCGCTAGAATAGAAAAAAGTTAATTGTATTATTCGTCAGCAGCTTAAACAAAGCGCGAACAGAAAGGTAAGAAACGCCACTAACCTGTATGGACGCACAAGTCGCACCTGCAGGTCGCGCAGTACTCCGCCTCGTACGGCCGTACGGCTTCGAAGGGACGATGTAGTACTTCCTGCCGTGTGCGATCTTCGACGTATTGTTGCAGCCGACCACGCAGCAATTGTTGCCGCTTTCTTGGTGCGGAATAGCCATCTCAGAAATTACAACGCTAACCGGCTAACCCACTACAACGCACAACCAACGCAGCGACTGGCAGAAGCTCCCCGATGCGATGGACCCGTTTGCCGCTAGGGGCGCCCTGGTCGGGGCTTGAATTAGATGCGCACGGTTCCTATTGCTCTGGAGGCCGTCGAGATTCGCACCGGGTGCACCGAACGTCTGCGACTAGACACAGCTGTTACGTAAAAAACCTGGCACAGCCAGGTTATTATGTAATAGCTGTCCGCAGAAGCCTTCGGACATCCGAATTCTGCGTTAGCCGACAGATTTTTTTCTTCGGCTTCCAAACCATCTTACGTAAAGTTGTTTGAATGAATGTGTACTGTTATCATAAATCTTGGCTTGTGATTGCGACTTTGTAGATCATCTTATTCGTTTTGCTGGAGAGACGCAAACGATGGGCATAACAAAATCGGTTGCATATCCGCCTACCTTGCAAAAGCACTTCCCCAGTCACCTTGCGAAAAGCGCGAAACACGGGAGTCCGCACTGTCCCGATTTCCGAGTCTTTTACCTGCTTTAGAGCAGTTTGTACCTGCTGGCTGCTAGTACGTATGTCTACTGAAACTGCAACTTGAAACTAGGGGCAGTGCCAGAGACCAAAGAGACAAAGCTCGGAAAGCTTGCTCGCCCTCCCCAATTTCTGAACTCTCGAGGGATTGTACCGTAATAAATGCAAAGCGCCTCTTTCCCCCCCCCCCCCCCCCCCCTCCTTTCTCCCCCCCAAAAAAGCACTATGTTCACTACGTAAAAAATGGTCTCCCACCCCTGCCCGTTTCGATCTGGATGAGCATCGTACCGGCGTGCGGACGTGTATCACCACTGCGTGGTGCACGTTAAAGAGCCCCAGGCTAGCGGTTGTACCGTGCTGGCTAAATTGCTCATCTACAGCTGAGGCACCAGACACCCACTGAGGCAGACT